AGTAAAAATACAGATGCCATGTAAATAATTTTAGGTAGGACTAATGAAACAAAAAAAAGGGACAGATTCGCCATTTGAAAATATGTTAATAGTTTAGAGAAGCATTAGAAATACAGCAGTACAAAGATAGCTTGTCAAGCAAGATAATATGCGCATTATGGCAGCTTTGATTTTGAATAGAAATATTTGGCAGTACAGTATCATTCCCCAACGCAGGGTGTGTTTTACAAACCCTTTATCTGTCTTGAAATTTTATATTTCATTTTGGCTGCCAGGTTTTAAGTCATGGTTTAAAGTGCGAAGCCTTAAAAACTTTAACGCGCTTGAGGTATTTCTTAACTTAAAATGTGATTTATTGAAATTTTTTTTATCGATTTCCAGATGTTCTCGATAACATCTAAGTCTTTATATGACTTATGTGACACCACTGTTGCAATCCAATAGGTTTCATTTGATTACATTACGTATTCAACTGACGGACAGAAGAAACAGATAGTTGACGTACGTATGTGTGACCACGGCCTTACTGCGATGTTACCGCGATGGAAAATTGGCTCAGAGCATCTAAAGGTGTTCTAGGATCAAGAAGGCCATCAGATAATTATTGTAACATCTCGCATTACTCGCGGTTAGAGGTCGACTGTTTTTAAGTTTGTAACTTTTTATGGAATTTTTATCTAGTTTTCTTCACGTATGGTCGCGACTAGTATTTTCATGTCGCTGTAAGATCGCAAATGGTCACAGTGCGTTATGAGGGGCTATTAAGAGGAGTGGGCACTTTATCGCCATATTGTTGCCAACTGGTTCACTTTAGAGCTGTTGGCATCTAATCCATAATTTGAACTTTGACCTGTACTTAAACACCTTTGCAACGACCATCTATTCTTATGAAGGTGTTTTGAAATCCAGAAACCAAGTTAAATACCTAGGCTCACAAGTTTGATTAAAACGCTAATTAGTGCTAATTTAAGGTTTGCACATTGTGAAGTGTTTTTATGTTGCAGTTTCATGATCAGTACTCTTAATAGTAAACCTTTATGAAAATAAGATCGATGGGCTCGAAATTTTGATAAAAGGAGACAAGTGCAAATGCTGAATTAAGGGTAAACGATAATGTGAATTATATAATGGTGGTCATAAACTGTTCATTATACTGCCTTTTTTCAGATGAAAACAAATTTGAAAAATAGTTGATGTGGTTCTTCCATGTTCTGTGGTATTGGACTGAAGATATATTACTTAAATTAATATACTGTTTGTAAACATGAAAATTATAACATCTTACTGAAGATGCTAACTGTAATATAAGGTTTATTAATGTCGACTAACAGCGTACAATAAGACCACGACTCAACATTATAGGGTGTCGTGAAGTAAATTACCACTCCCAATTGCATATATACAGTTCCAAAGGCTATTCTTAATCTTATTACAAAAGAAAACAAATAATGAAGGAATTAGAATTTGTGTACATATTACCTGTGTAAATAATTATTTTGATATCTTAAGTGAGAAGTCTTAATTTCTACAGTACAGTTTGGAGAAAACCACGTTCATGTATTGAAGAGATTCTCTATCCTATTATTTATTATCGTGTCAACGTGTGTTTTTCTTTTAGGAAAAACTAACAATTTCATTGACATTAAAAAATCTGAGAATAAAAGGTATTGTTTGTAGTGAAACTTAATAAATTGTTTAAATATACTAGCACCATACCTCCCCGTACCACCAATTTTGAAACCTACGGATGACTTCTTATTTGAATTTGAGGTGGGACATTTATCCCATTGGCCAGGCTTTGTTAATTTAATTTTAGTAAATAAAAACTTCCGTATTGAAGGGTCTATAAAACTTAAAGTGATTTGAACAAGGATCACTTTGCGTTAAGACAGCAAGAGGATGAAGACTTTAGCAGTAGTTCTGATTGCTTACTTGAGCACCACCAGCGCATACAGTAAGTATTATTATTAAAAAAGTGAAATCGTGAAGCTGCATAGGCCACGTGTTGATAGGTGTACCTGGAAATCGTGTTAACAAGTGGTATTATAACTTAGATCTGGTATATCTTACAATTCTTTGCTCAATATCATCCAGATTAGGTTGCTTCAGAAGGTGGCAGTTTTGCTGAGATTAGAAATGAATTAGTGTTTCACGTCTGCTCCATATTGGACAGTGTGCAATGATTAATTTTGTTACCCTGCAAGTTGATCTTGCAGTCTATAACCACGGGGCATCAATTTATTGTCAGATCCGAATGGCTATATGCTTTTACCATGTCAGCCCTTAATTGACAGTTCAATTATTTTGTGCACCCCATTTTCTTAGTGATGACAAATGAAAATATCTGTATATTTTTAAATTCGTTTATGTTGTGGTTCTTACTATGAATATGTCGTCAGGAGTTGGGGGAGAAAAAATGAGGAATTATCGCCACTTCTCTTCCCCATCCATTCTTTTAAAAAACAATGCAAATCATATACCCACCAGAAATTATTTCTATTGAGCCATTCCTATAAAGATCTATTTCCACTATGATTGATGGTTTAATATCTGGGCGTTTGATGTCAGGATATTTGTCCAAAGTCGTTTTTGATATGAGGACAATTGAAACTGTATCTATCCGAGTGTACTACATTGAACATCTACAGAAATTCACTTAACGTGGTAATTTTTATTATTTAATTTAGAAACTCATTACTAAACAAGTCTGATTAAATATAGATTTGTTAATGAGCCACTGGATAAATTCTTGACCCTTATCGCGACCCATGCTATCGAATTTCGAAGAGAACGATGATTGTGATGTGATGAAGACGTTGATGTACGTATCTAATCTTGATGGATTAATGAAAACAAGCAAAACATGCATGCCATGTTCAATGAGGGATTAGTTAGGGGAAAGGACTTTTTTTCATTTTAAATGTAAAAGGAACAAGATGCCTCGATTCGGTCTTCCGGACGACAAGACCACTATGCCTAATTAAAGCATATGAAATATAATCCATCTTTAAATATGTATATTTGGAATAATTTAGCAGAAATAACTTTTTAAAAAGCATGTGTGTTCGCAACTGCCATCTTAAACTTAGAGCTTGACGTTAGATGCAACATTTTCCTTTTTTGAAAGTAAAGATGATTCTAGACCTGAGGTTTTTGTAAAGGGATTGAAAAGAGGCTTTCTTAATCTTTATGTGCTTCGAGGACACTAAAGGCATCAATGTTCTTTGTAACAGAGAAATTTCCTTATAGACTCTCATGATGGCATGCACTATCCCACTTGCTCGATCGATTACTGGTGGTATTGCTAATGGTAATTCAGTAGTATTAATTCAGTCTTATTGTCGTTTGAAATTTCGACAAATAAGCTCTAGGTATTATGAAGTGAAAGACGATACCGCGCCGCCTCTTGTTAGCACTTGCACGGGCATTAGAATTGTTCTTACCTTGAGGAGAATTCGAACTCACGGCACCTAATCACCTAGCAGGCGACAATCCAACAAAAAGACGTATTGACGTTTACACAGTTCGAACATTGTTAACCTCTTCAAAGGAATATTCATATAGCCGAATCGTATTTTGGATCGTTGGTGGTTAGTATTTAGAATATGTTCCCACAATAAAAATAGCATCTAGAAAAAGACAATAACACAATGGGTCAAATTGACAAAGGTTTGCGTATCAAGGGACGAAACGCTCGAAAAACCACGAGAAAAGGTACAAGAGTGAAAAACCTCCATGAACATTATCATTGTCCAAGAAATATTCTGATACCTAAGATTTTCCTCCAAATGATGACAAAAAATAAAAATTGAACATTTTAAACGAAACGAGCACTAGTTAAGCCAATAACAAGGTTGAGCCCATTTGAATATATTTATTCATATCGGGAAAATGACTTGATTTTAATATGTCTTTAATATATTACTTCATATTTTATTTAGGCTCTTCATTAAAAGCGAATGTATATTTAGGGTTTAAGGGTTTGTGATTCTCTAAAATGTGTGTATCGGGGACACTGATAGCACCAATTTGCACCATTCAAATTTTCAATTGAGAAATATGCTTAATCGGATAAGCCCCTACGCGACGATTGACGTTATCTAAACTTTTTAGTGAAACCGGAGACGCCTGATTGAAAGTTGGAATGGTGCAAATCAGTAAATCTGATACATATAAAAATATCAGAAAACATACAGTCCCTTCCCTGCAATCCAAGCCTTGCAGCTACATAATTTAGCTTCGTGTACAAATTACGATCCAATTCATCATATGTACTCTAGAGTATGAATTTGTCAAACATTGAATTTGGATATGATACTTTTTTTTGATGAAACTTGGCATCATTATCTAAATTTACTTTGTTTATGAATTAATTCTTTGTAATGATGTGACTGAAATAATGCTATGTGGGCGTATATTACACATCCTTCAATCATACCGTTCAATAAACAGGCCTATACTAACTAACTATACAAGAGCTCATTGTGTCAACAGGAAGAGTGGCTTGAAACACTCTGAAAAGCACTTCGTTTGAATAATAACGACTTTGACCACCATAAGATAGTTTGCTATGACAATATTTAAGTGGACTTTGTTTTTTCTATAATTTTATAGGGAAAGGTGTGATTTAAGCCCTTTGGTCCAAATGGTGCATTTTTCATTTCATTTATAAGTAAATTTATTTAAGGCCTTGAGCGTTGATGCAATATTGATAAAGGGGGATGAACACAGCGTCATGTCATTCGAAATTAAGATTTAATGAAACATACCAATACTTATCAAATACTTTTCATTTGTCTTCTTTTAAAGAAATAAACATCACTTAAAACTGACTTAATTTTCAAGAAGTTACCTTTTGAATTTTTCATTATATTAACTCTTGGTTATTAATAATCAAGGAGAGGTTACTGTAGGCGAAAGTCTGTTCTTCAATCCTATTATGTCAATAAATATTGTTTTTACAAAAAAGAATTCCTAATTATTTTTAATATGAACCAGATATGGCTAGATTTCTTGGATTAAGTTGTGAGGTATTTCCAGAAACACACGGTGGACACGCAGATGGTATAAAACAAAAAGTTGACTACATAGTTCATAACAGGATATTTTCATCTGATTTATTTTAGTTTGTGATGATGTATTGAAACTACAAGGCGGCAAATGTAAGTCTGCGTGTGGTGCAAATGAGGAAGAATATCCCAATTATGGTTATGCGGCATGTTTAGGTTCTCCAGGTTATATATGTTGCAAACCATTTGGTAAGTTTATTTTAGTGTATGTCCTAGTTAAAATTCATATTATCGACATCTTGGTACTATATTAGTTACTTCATAAGTCATTTGTGTATAAAAAAAATAATAACTAAAGCAGAAAGCAGACAAAGTTGGTTTGAAAATAGTTTAAAAAGTATGAACCTTACTGTATATTTTGACAATTCTATGTTATAGTCCGAGAGCTCATGAAAATTATAAATTTATCAGTATTGTTATAACTATGAACACAAAAATGTATTTTAATAAAAAGTTAATATATTAATATTATCCTTTCAGAGTCTCAATTCCTGTTTTTATAAAGCTAGTACACACTCCAGCATTCATATATTCTTTTATTTTAAGAAACAACTACTCCTATGGAAACGACTACACCTGAACCTACTACCCCAACAGAACCACCAACAACCACCGAAGGACCAACTACTACCCCACAACCGGCTCCACCAGCTGAACAATGTGGTGTTCAGCAGAAAATGGATGGCGCCTTCCTTACCGCTAGAATATTAGGTGGTGATAAATCAAAACGATGTGACTGGCCATGGATGGTTTCTATCAGAGGACGAGTATCGACAACATCGGGACTTACAGCTAATAGCGCTGATACTATGGGTTTATGTAATGGTGTTTTAATAAACCAAGATTATGTTTTAACAACTGCTGATTGTGTTATGTTGTAAGTCAATCATTTGTCTATGCAACTGATAACTAAACATAATTTCAACTTCTCTTTGGTGAAATATACATATCATTATAAATGTTGCAAGTATTCGCGTCAAATGGAACGCCCACTGTCATAAATCATTATTGCAAAAACCTAAATAATGCAAAATACGGCATGAATTCTGGAAGGAATTAAAAACGCCACAGCTACAATTTGATTTTTGTCTGTTTGAATGAAGATAACATGATTATTTGCTTCAGTGCTCATCTACCTGCTGGAGGAACAGATCCACTGAAGAATATTGTGGTTGTAGCTGGAGAAACAGACATTCAAAACACGGACTTCGGTAACGATTCAAAACCAACAGAACAAGCTTTTACATTATCTGAAGTTAAAATTCATCCCGATTTTTTCAAATCAGATCCGTCGCAATGGCTGAACACTGATCTGACAGCTGATAAGGCGATAAGAGAACGTGAGTACCAATTCAATTTCTAAATAAATTGATAAATTAAAATAAGTAATGACTCTATAATATTTGATAATAAACACTGTCACAAACAATGTGATAGTTTAGAATTTTATGCATGGACCGAAATTTTGTTAGATTTGCTGTTTTTAATACCTAACATTTACATATATACAAAATATATACAAAATATATACAAAGATATTGTTTTGAGCAATGCATTCACATATTGAAGAGCACTAGAAATTAAAGTATAATAGTAATACATGTATACTGTGTTTGGTTGAGTACATTTTACTATTATATGTATTATTCTTACTGAGCTTCGCCAGTGCTTTACATATGATTTTATTAGGAACTTCTTCACTATAAATACTAACTTATGAAGTTTAGATTGTAATTCACCCATAGAGAGGTTGTAAACAGATGTTAATGTTTTAGGAATAATTTGATATTTCAGACGATAACTTTGCTCTCCTGAAACTTAGTCAACCAGCTGAATTTAATACGTGTATTCGTCAAGTTTGTTTACCAGAAAATCCTGCACCTTCTTCGGGCCAGAAAGAGAATTGTAAAATAGCAGCTTGGGGAAACGATCAAACCAGTATTGCAGCGGGTGAGTAGTGAGTACTGTCAAATCTGCGATTGCACATATTTGCAATTGACCACAAGTAAAAAAAAACCGAAGAAGTTCATTTTTTTTCAATACTCGCATGAAGAAAATATTGCTCATTGACAAATTGGTTAAGTTTGCAGACGATGCTGTACATTATGTCATTTTTATTAAAGATGGGTTTCCTTATTTTTTAGTGTCAAATTAAGCAAACTATTTAATTACATGTAATTGGTGTTTTCAATGAATTATCATGTATACTTAATCATATCATTATGTTCTTATCGCATATAGTAAAGAGATTTAACCAATTATAAATGTCCATGTATCTACAGTCTGGATAAGCAAAAAAATACTTTTTGACCTTTCTTGATCGGTCACTCATTGGAATCCTGCTAGTAATTCTCTATTAATTTAGCTAAGTATGAATTAATTATGGACATAATGGACAAACTGGTATTTTCTAAGTCATTAGAACACCTCTTCTTCTATTTATATAAGTATTAGCAAATAAGGGAATCCATCTTTAAAAGGTTCATACTTTTCTATTAATATTTTTATGACTGGATGTAATATTTGTTTTTTAAGAATTACCTGGAAACCTGAAGGAAGCAGACGTTTCTATTTCCTCACAACAAGCATACAACCAAGCTATTGACTTTTTCAATTTACCAAACCCTAAATTAGCTCCACTAACAACAATTGCCAAATTCAAAACTGCTGGTGGTTCTTGCTTGGTAGGTTACTTTACTCATTAAGTTCATAGAGCTCTTGATGAAGCTGGCTTGATAATAGGTTGCAAAGGGTGTATTACCAATCCAAGAAAAAATGGCAAAACATGTTCAGGATTCACGTAAATTTTGTCACCAGCTCGTCAAAATTCAATCTTTTAAACCAATGGTCACACGAACGGTCTTGGTCGGCGATTTTGTCGCCGACTAGAATCTTGTCAAGAGTTTCACCAACTGGCTCACGAGGAGAAAAGTATTTCCAATCGGTCGTTTTCCTCGATAATCTTGGCGGATCATGCAATTAAAAAGTGAATCTGACTGAATGATGACGCTCTGTATTACAGACAATAAAACAATCGGTGACAAATACCAAACAGTTTAAACATCGGCAACGCGATAATCTTGTCGTGGAAGCGCAGGCACATGTAAGATATTACCCATGATTCAAGTCGGAGAAAAATCAGCAACAAAAACTGAGATGAAAAGAAAGTCCGCATCAACAATCGATTTCCACTTTGTTTTACTAGTCTGTAAATTCACAAACAGTAGCCTATAATTTGTAGTTTAGTCATTACTTAGAAATTGCAAACTGTTGAAAAGAAATTGAGATGCTTCATTCGTTTTGGGTTAGGCTACTTTGTTTACGTCACGTGTTTAAATAACATGGCGGTAAACCAAACTAATGATCTGATTCTGGTATCCTGGCCAGACCCGTAGCTTCGTATGCTCAACCACATACCAGATTAGGTGTAGACATACATTCCACACTAATATACATAAATTATAATTATTTCAGAGTGATAGCGGTGGTATGCTTGTTTGTCAAAACCAAGAAAATCGATGGGTTTTAGAAGGTCTGATCAACAGACCAGATTTTACTGAATGTAACCCTACTGAAACTTTCATAGTTTCCGATGTCAGCCAAGCTCAAGAGTGGATAAAAAAGGAAGCAGTTTAAGGATTTTACGGTGATACATAATAAGACCTATTTTTATTTTGTTAAGAAATGACGACAATTAATAAATTTCAATTGTAAATAGTAATTTGTAATTTATTTTTGTAAGTGCATAAATACAAATAGTGCCCATCTATATACATCATCATACTTTCACTCTTAATTTCTGAAGAAGAAATTTCAGATAATTCCGAAATTAGTTCAAGTGGGATTTCGCAAAACATTTGCGTCCCCATGGTGGCGACATTTCACTGTAAAAATAACATCTGATAACAACAGCAAACTAAACTCAAAGGCAAAAAAGCCGACCCAGTGGTCCAACGGGCATCCAGTACCGGCATTTTGATGCCGGCCCGGTACCGATGCGGTAAATGGATCTTAGGTAAATGCACTAAACAAAACAAGCGAAAAGTAACCAGTCGCATAGGAAACTCGGTTCATCTAATCACAGATTGAAGGACGAAAAATTATAAAGAAACAGCCAAGGACAACAACTTAAAGGGACAGGTATATAGTCCATTTTTTGAACAATCATACTTCAGTCTCAGAAACTGAGCTAATCAGTAATAGTGTTCACAGCTCACCGTCAAAATTTGAGCCTTCAAATCCATGTGTCCATGACGACTCAATTTAAGATACTCTGTGATATATAGAAAAGACAAACGTAGAAATAGTGATAAAATTCCTAGTTTGAAGTAGGCCTACTTTAAAGGTATTATGTGATTTCATACATTTCTAGTGCTTCTGAAGACTATTTACATATATTCAAGACTAAAATCAACCACACAAAATGCCGCATCTGACCCTCTTAATTGAAGAGATGTCTGTTCGGTGGCTTTGATCTTTCCGAATTACCTTTACCTATATTTTTCTGGGTCAACTTAGTAAAGGTCTCCAGACTTTCACACACCGGCCGAGATGGTGACATAAATTATGTCTTTTGAACATCTTATGGGACAGAAAGGTTTTTGAATATTTCATGTGATGTCACGAGATATCTACGTATTTTACTTTAATTTTACCTATCTTATCAGCAAAATACACTGGCAAACCATTCTTAAATTCAACTTTGCTATCATTAGGTTATAGGTTTGCTCATTAAGCAGAACGCAAAAATATCTTAAACATGAAAAGACACAAAGATATCAAATTTTGTTTCTGTCAAAATGAAGTTTAATTCGTATCAACTGAATTGTCATTATTCAAATGTGAATAATCAATGACTCTCAGTGACGATATTGCAATTTTGTCAGATTTTACTAGTTGTATAGTACGAACGAAATGAAGTAGATATAAATTCTAGGAATGGAAACAATTAAGTTTGTATACGTCCACATGGAAATGTGGGCGTATATTGCCGTCGCCCATGCCCGTCGGTCCGTCAACATTTCTTGTGAACACAATAGAGACTACAGTGTTCAGATGATTTTAGTGAAATTTAAAGTGATCATTTATATTGATAAGATCTTGGACAAGTTCGAATTTGATGATATTTCGATGAACGGTCTTAGAGTTATTGCCCTTGAAAAAGCATCAAAATTTGTTTCTGAACACATGAGAGAATACAGTTTTCAACTGATTTTAATGAAATTTAGTGTAATTATTTATATTAATGAGATCTTGGTCAAATTCAAATTTGATGATTTTTCAATGAACGGTTTTTGAGCTATTGCCCTTGACTTAGGAAACACGCGTCAAAATTTGTTTGTGAACACAATAGAGACTACAGTTTTCAACTTAATTTAATGAAATTTGGTGTGATCATTTATATTGATGAGATCTTGGACAAGTTCGAATTTGATGATATTTCGATGAACGGTCTTTGAGTTATTGCCCTTGATTAGGAAAATCGCGCCTAGATTTGTTTATGATCATGTATACTGATGCGATAATTTGATGTATTTGGGTTATTTTTATTGATTTTTAAAAATGTGGTGGAATTTCTCAGCATTCATAACTGGCAGTAAATATATCATTGAATTCAAACGATTAAAATTTCTTTAATATGAGAAAATCCATACTTTAGTCACTAAAAACTGTTTATCATTTCTGACAGCTGCCAGTGGGCGTATGTTCCCTTGCCTGGCAACAAGATACAACAAGAAAACAAAATTTATGAGTTGCATAAAGTTATTTATTGATACTATTACATGTTTAATATATCGTATTAAGCCGAATCAATCTCTTGTGAAATCCATTGATAAGCTTCCTTAGCATCAACTATTGCAAACACGGAACTCTTTTCACAAGCACTTGAATCGGGACCGGCAATATATCTTGGTATATTAATAAGTCCTTCCAATACCCATCTATCTTTATTCAAACATACAACCATACCTCCACTGTCACTCTGAAATATAATTCACCAGCATTAAAAAAACAATCGTCAGAGCGAGTATAGTCGCTTTACCAACTGATAGAATGCATTTTTCAGTAATCTAACATTTTCAGCAATCTACATGTTATAAATATAATCAAAATTCAACGCCTCGGGGTGTAAACCTGAGAACATGCGGATAGTGCAAAACCGGGCCGCTGCTTTCTACCATCATCTACGTGCAAGTACAAGCAATATCTGTCTCAGACACTCGAGTAATATCGTTTACAAAAATTGCAAATGTTTGTTTTGAAGCTCTATTTTAAGATTTTAAAGAGAAATGAAAGTAATTAAGTCAGACTTTCTAGGATACATGATTCATAATATTAAAAAAAAATGTATAATGGATGGATCGGAAAATGATCCATACTATCAATCTGATTTAGTTTATAGGCACATTCGGCTTTTTTGTAGGTCGAAAATTTGTTATGCTCAAATTTGTGAAAACTAGTCCTATACATCAATATCAAGAGAAATGAATCTGAACGTATCTGAAAATTTTAACTAAAGAAATCCAGCCGTTAATTTTTAAACGCCAAAAGTATTTTTAAGTTCGTTATGCTTTTTGGAAGCTGTACGGATTTGAGTCAAATAAACGTCTAATTGTAGAGAGATATGTCTTTTACGTATTTAACTATTAACATCGACCCATTATAAAGCCAAACTAATTAATAATAAGTAATCTCCATTTTTTGATCAAGTTGATACAAAATATAAATATCATACTTTAGAAATATTTTCAGGTATAATTTACGACATTTTTGAAAATAAAAACTGTTTACCAAAAAGCGGAATACCCCATTTACACATTTTTTTTTACACTGATGTAGTAAGAAGAGATGTTGTTTCCCTTTCTCGTTTCATTACGTATCAGTGCAACAAACAGTCATCGGTCAATGTGAAAAAATCCACATGCCACAACGATTTATTCAAAAAGTCCGACCGTCGGAAATCATCGTTACAGTTTCATTGTCTCTTATTCCTTAATATATTTACTTCAATGTTCAATTGAAAACCTAAAAATGTATTCCTAGCTTATTTTCAAGCACAATTTGTTTTGACTGCGACAAACTTAAAACCTGTTCAAAAGATGTATACTCAATACAGTAATATTTTTCAGTACACATTCCTATTGTTAGTATTAATACAGTGAATTTAATTTTAGTCGAATTTAAAGGAAATTAATTAAAAAAATGATTCTGTAAGTAAAACATCAGACGAATGGGAGTTAAAAATTTGAAAGTTACAATTGACCCGAACGAAGAGCGTGGAGTGTTCTATATTTGTAATAAAAAAAAGTCAAAATCACCTTCTGATATTGAAGGTCAGTTAGGAAATTTGTTATAAAAACAAGCAGCCAATAGTAGGCCATAAATCTATTATATTAAAATTCTTACTGAACATGCTCTATCAGAATCATTCTCAAATTTCCCATATGTTGTTAATGGGCCTGCTGTATCTATAATTCCTCGTGTTCTATATATGTCTTCCACCTCTGTCCAAAACTCCTTAGAATATACTTTAACATCAGCTTCCTTCAACTCTCCAGGCAATTCTGATAGAAAGGTCAAAAGTTTGAAAGGAATGCAAAAGCTTTATCAGATTGACATAGCATTGTCAGGGCACATTATATATTACATGCATATACTATAATATTCGTTCGAGGTAAGATCCCATATATCATTTAGACAGGAGTGGTTATTGTTGCAACATTTTCAATATATCATAAACAAGTCTACAAGCTCATCGATGCCTCGTAACACTGGTAAAGATACATATCTATGTATCGTTTCATACTTTATTCTGTTGAGAATGTAAAACGAAATGGAATCTACATATGAATCAGATCGAGTCTAGAATGTGTCGTTGATTTGTTCCTAAAAATGTACATTACCTGTTTGTAAAGATTCCTCAGTATTTCCCCAACTAGCTATTTTACATTTATCTTTTTTGTTGATTGGTTTCTCGTTCAAATCAGGTAAACAAACAGCTCTAACACAGTCTGATAGTTCTACTGGTCTATTTAATTTCAATAAAGCCAGGTTATTATCTGAAAATTGAAAAAAATTCAAATAGAGGTCTTACCAAATAACAAAGAATAACATTACACAGAAAATTTACATAGTATTCATAGTAGGTGGAAGGATATAAATATGGCTGTTCCGCGGTATGCTTATTCCGGGAGAATTACTTACCTTTCAACGTATTCTTGTCTTGTGAGAAAAATGTATGACCGAGGTTTCCTAACTCAAATTGAGTAAACTTGGGGTGCAGTTTAACATCAGAAATACGAAAAACTGATTCCAAGGGATACTGTTCATCATCATACTCTGTTTGACTTATGTCGTATTCATTTGCAACTACTAGTATATTCTCTTTGACATCTGGTTGGGAAGAAGATGTTAATACATGAGCTCTGTAATATAAACCAGTTAGACGTTTGGTTCTTTAGTTTAACGTTTATTAACACCATAAATATACGATATCTTGCCAAGCCAGTCCTCTGGTAGCTTTTTTTTATACTCACTACATGTATTGATAAAACAATGTGCTGATCATAGAAGATATCTATGTATTATAAGATATCTATGGTGCAGATATATTTCAGATTAAAAGTATTATATGGTGAATAATCAAGAGTCGATGGATTATTTCACGTCCACGAAATTATTGGTTATCTGAATGTTACAATTAGATGTTATCAGAACAGTGCCCTCATTCCGTCCCTCTCTGATGAAACAGTGATAAGATCCAGATACCTCTTCGACTGCCTGCATAAAACAGAAGATGATGTACTCACAAACCAACACAATAGGCAGTTGTTAAAACGAATTCTTCATCAACCAAAACTCCATTACAAACGTGTTTAGTTTGGTCATTTCGACGGGTCAGCTTACTGGTTTCCCGAATGCGACCTCTTATGGACACCAACCATGGCCATTCACACCTGTTTGATACTTGACCACCAAGTATTCTCGACATGGAAGGCATTGATTTTTTAAGACCACATTGTTGTTGTGGTGGTATTGGTTCAGGAGTTGGCGATGTTGTAGGTTCTTCTGTTGTCGTCAATGCTGAAAAAATAATTCAATTCATAATTGCTCTCAATGTAAGAATAAAACCAGTATAATACAGTAGCTGTAAATGCCCTCACATTAAAATACAGTTCTAAGTATAAAGTTTCATGTATTTATATGGTTAACAACTGGATCTGAATAGTCTTTATAATTCTTTATAACGTTCTTTAGGAGCTAAACCGCCACAGTCCTCTGATAAATTCTGGGATATTCATTGTTGAGGCATTGACTTGTAGTAAATACAGTTTTGTCTAAATTATCGCTAAGTAAGGTTAATCATGAGCTACAGAAGGTTGAATCAGATCATAAGTGTTATTTTATCAAGAATATTAGTAGATACAGAAGGAACTTACGATATGGACTACAACATTTCAAATTCGATCCCAGACATCCTACGAAGCCATAATTTATATTTTCCATACCAAAACCATCACATGTCTCTCGACATTCATTTCCTTCACTTGGTGTATGTTCATCACACACTAAAAATGTGCAAAATTCTGCATGATTATTTTCGTTACATAGCTGTTCTTATCAAACACTTTCCAGAGTCGTTCAAATGCCGAGGGCATACTAAACTTTGCTGGGAAAACCTGATGACAGCCTATGGCTGAATGGTCAAGACAAAAAACATGTTATTTTGTATATATATATAACACATCAATAGATAAATGACTCTGCCGTTGGAAAAGACCATTTTTAAAATGATTAACTTGCAGTTCTTGAGTTCAAGTTACCATACAAACTTTCTTACATTTGAAAACCACAGTCCTTACTGTGGATCTAATTTGGCAAGTGAGGTAGACCATTTGTCAAATTGATGTTCCTTTGGTCACTTGTAACGCTCTTTTGATACAAAAAAGTATTGCAACAAGATCTTCAAATAGTTGTATTATACTTGTATTCCTCATATGTCTGATTTTTTACGCTAAACGACTGGAAAATATTTATAAGCAAAAAAAAAACTATATAATACGTATTCAATATGATAATAAAATTTATATTGAACTTGTAAAACTTACAGAAGGATAGAGAACATCCTATACAGACAGCCACAAATACAACCAGCGACTTCATGATCATAGAATTTTCAAACTACTTGGTCAAGATAATTGGAGCCTTTTATATACTTTTCATTGGCACCTATCACATACCTTGTACACAAGGAAGTTTGGGATTTAAAACTATCAAGCAGGATTCTTACAACTTCGACAATTTAAAAACCCAATTACTGCGGTCTGTATTTCAACTGAGAAAGAAACACTATATTACAATTAATTGCTCAACAACGTGCAACAATGAAGTTGTCAAATATTGAAACCAGAAATTCATGCAAGGTAAATAAAGATGGTTAGATAATTATTCCATATGTGTATGAAGACAAAAGGATACCATCAATTTCGACAATATATGAAACGCATTTCATAAAAATAATAGGCATCAATTAAATGAAGGTGTGTACAGGATGTCTGGATATGTGGTATGTAGATGTGAATAGAGACAAAACGCATGTCACTCGTTGTCAAATACTAAAATAAAGATAACTGTCAAAACAAGGATCACTATTAGACGACTACATAGGGATCCATAGGAGAGTAAAAGACCTGGAATTGTAGGAAAAAACATCAAAAGACGTAATCTGGTTGTGAATATGAGCTATCGAAATAAATTTACCTGCAATATTTAACAAGTGGACTCTCGGAAAGGATGTTAGATTTAAAAAAAAAAAACACCCACAGAGAGGTGTTACCATAGTACGACCATGTCCTGCCTCCCTAGCGACACCTTCATAACTCTGGCCCTAATTAAAAATAAGATAAGGAAATTGGTGAGGATTATATGTAAAGTAGTGAATTTAACAATGACAAACGTAATTTACTACTTGGCTGTTCTTGTTTTGATCAATTATTCCAGCTTCAACTTTCAATATTATCTATAGTGTTGTTTAATCTAACCACTAATGCGATAAGCCGAAATATGTTTTTGAGGTGTTTCAAAACTCGGTTTTCATCTGATAATGCAAATAGAGTTCAACCATTTCCCATATAAAATTTAAGCCCAACAAAGAAAGATATGCAGATGGCGCCTGCGAAAAAAAACCAGATAAAAAATCAAACAAGTACCAAATGGACCATTAATTATTTACTAAATGACAGACGTGGTGTTCTCTCATAATTCAAATAATATTTACTTTAACTTTTTTTTTATTCTGAAAAAATATACAATTAAGTGTACATTTGAAATCGTATACATTATACATGATGCGAATTTATGATTTCTAAGTCACACTCGCCAAACTGAAGCAAGGTCGTTTATCTTTTGATTTGTATGAAAAGAATTGATCATTAAATTTTGTTTTTGCAATTGGTAAGTAAAGAAACCAATCCTTCCATTTACATTAAAACGTGAGCAGAGAATAATAGTTGATGAATGTCCTTCTGTACTCAAGTCTTAACAAACTTACAGGTAGGCTACATTGTTTTCTTTAGGGTATGATATCACTGACTGTGTGACTATTAAGCGAATGCTCGAGCTGCGGGAGTGGTTTGATCTGTGGGTTTATTTACGTGTGGAAGATTCTTTCGAGTATTGTTCCACACACGCTCCACGAGCACTGGATTGGAGTATTTTAGCACCAGCAGCTGAATTTGAGATTTTCTCAACCTCCAGTCACTCTCGGAGGCAATTACGCTTTCATCGAGAAACAAAGGAGAGAGTCAAAGCTAGATGTAATCTGATTATGACCACATTATCATATAATTTAAGAATAATGAATTATTAAGCCCTCTGAATGGACATAGCTTCCCCAAAAACAAAAGCTTTAGGATTTACAAGCACATTGGATACATTTATCGACTTTATGATAAAACTCCACCAAGCTTTCGATCTATAAAAATGTCTTTTTATTTTTCAATTTTCTTGTCTAAATATAATTTCAGTAATCAATATGAGATTGTCATTGTTCCTTGCTGCCATTTGCTCATTGGCATTGATTAGCGGAGAATCTAGATCATTTCGTAAGTAAACATTACAAAATTGTACATATACATAATAAAACACAACTTTTCAAAGTGCGTTCATTTAGAAATGGATTATTCGTTTTATTTCCATAGTTAATTTGGCATCGTGGTTTTGTCAAAGTAGTCGTCATATTTTACAAAATTATTTGTTTTCAGATAGAATAATAAAGAGATCATATTGCAAGAAGCCAGGAGGTAATATTGTCTACGTGTTGTCTACGACTGATAACTGATTTGACAATACAATCAGTGAGGGTAACGTCTTAAAAACTGTGCCACCTATTGAGAAGATTTGCTGACGCTCTAAAGATGCGGAAATTTTGTGCCTAGCAATATCAGAATCATGAAAAATCTGAAAATAAGAACTTTGTTATGGGAGAAAAAAAAGATTAATGTAGGATTTGCGTTCAATGGACAAATTGCTAAATTAGAATCGTTGCAAACAGCATAAAATACGAGTATTTGAGTTTCATTAATGACAATGAAATGCCGATATGGCGAGATAGTCGCTTAACACAATTAAAAAAAAAACGATATATCGGCATTTGGTGGTTATTAATGAAACTTAAAATACATGTGATCAAAAGGTTTACATTATCACACTAGTGGTACGGTGTTGTCAAGGCAGACTATGCTAATTCTACCCCAACGACTGTGCATGTGCAGCTAGCATAAAGCATGGACAGAGATTTTCCGATTACATGTACTTGTAAACATGAAGGATTGAATATTATTTTATTTTTACAGTCTTTTCTGTATTTTGTCAAGTACCAACAACAAGTAAGTAGAATAATATTAATTCACCATATGTTCGAACAATTATACCAGTGCTTCTCAACCGGGGTCCAAGTGCACCCCAGGGGTTTATTCTAAATTCTCGGAGGTAAAATTGGAAAGAGGGTGAATAAGGGGTGAATTCTACACCAACGGGAGAACTTACCCATAGAACAAAGCACCCGTTCACGTGGCTTGACGGAGAGATCGTCGAAAACTATCCAAATTCGATATTGCACATGCACAAAACATGCAATTACCTTTCCCAACTTTGTACTTGGAATGTGCATTTACCATCTTACAAGACATCATTTACAAAATTATCCGATGCAGCCTGAACATTACTGATGCTATCTACGTCTGAAATTGACGAAAGTCAAGTTCAAGAAAAAGATCCAGGTTCAAGAACACCTAGTACAAGGCTCTTAATTAACAAATGTCTTTTTATGTGAAATGAAATAGATGGAGTTTTACGTCCTACTTTTCGCTTTCTGTGTAAAACCATGGTCTCTGTTCTTTAAGTATAAGTTTGAACCAATACCTTACTATACACCCACATTGTAATGCGAACGTACATTACAGTCGCCCTTGTCGTTCTGTCTACAATTGGTATACTGAAAAGTTAAATGGATAAATAGGCGTATCTTGCCTTTCAACCGGTTGTTTTTTTTTTCAAAATTATGTCCTGCTTTAATTAAAGAGCAAGGGGAAATGCTGGGAAATCAATCGTAAAGGTTGAGAAGCACTCGTATATAGGCCCTTACCCAAGTCTTCTTTTTGGCACATTCCAATCTTCGTCCGGTGTCTGTGGTTCCTGTAATTCCAGAAAAAATTAAAAGAGAATTCGTAACCTACCTACCACCAGGCTACAAGTACAATAACGTAATAATGTCATCTCCCTTTACAAGATGGCGGCATTTCTAAAAAACTAAGACACATTTTGCTTCACCGTTGCCTTATAAAACTCTTTGCTATACGTCTTATATTGTTTAGCTTTAAAGACGGGTTCCCTTAATTTCATTTATGAAAATGAATATGCTAATACTTATATGAATAGAAAGTAAAGGTATTCTAATGACTTGGAAAAAAACCAGTTTGTCTCACATGTCCATAATTAATTCATAATTAGCCTAATTAGAAGAGAATTAGAAGTCATTTTTGTTCATCCAGACTGTACATACATGGACATTTATGATTGGTTAAAACTCTTAATTATATGCAATAAGAACATAATTATATGATTAAGAATACATGATAATTCATTAGAAACACCAATTAATCAAATAGTTTTCCTAATTTTACACTAAAAAATAAGGAAACCCATCTTTAGCGGAATGGAAAAGTTGAATGATATTTGTGCAAATCAGAGCGCTAAATATCTTTATTTATGATAAAATGACTAACTTTTTGTTATATAAAAAACTTGCAGGTGTGTTGAAACTAGACGATGTTGATACATAACATAGAATTGAACTATCAACCTGCTATTTTCACATTATTTCATTTGGGATTTTTGTTTATTTCCTTAAGATTATACAAACATGGGAACCAACATGTTCAATGTTTAGAAATGCTTTCATTGTCAATCATTAAACATAATAGGTACGACAGTCCCTACCACCACAACAACAACGTCAACCACAACGGTTCCAACAACCACAACAGCTCCAACAACCACAACAACTCCAACAACCACAACAGCCCCAACAACCACAACAGCTCCAACGACCACGACAGCTCCGACGACTACTGTTGCTCCACCTGAAGAGCAATGTGGAATTCAAAGCAAACAAGACGCATTGTTTTCAAAAGGCCCAATGTTACGATTATTGCAGAGCTCTGATGCTGGTCAGTGTACCTTGCCGTGGATGGTGTCAATTAGAGGACGTAAGACATCTTCTTCAAGCTTAACTCCGGACCAAGATAATACTTTTCCATATTGTAGTGGTGTTTTAGTGGACAAACAATATGTTTTAACTACAGCCGGCTGTGTGTTGTTGTAAGTTAATTTGAATTTAATACGTCTTCATTTTCATAAAGAATTACGTTCTTAATCTTAGTCAGATCGGTGTAGTCCATCATTGCATTATGAATTTCCGTAAAAGAGATGTATCGCAAGAGCCGATATATAATGATACGTCGATTTCACGTCGATTTCAGTGCTAACTCTGCAGGCGGTGGTGGTGACCCGATCAAAAACTTACTTCTGATTGCTGGTGAATATGATACCCAAAATACAGACTACGGAGCAGATTATAAAGCAACTGAAAGCATTTTCAATGTAGCCGACACCATAATACATCCTGGTTATTATAAAACAGATGCTACTAAGTTTACTTCTTCTGATATTTATGATAAAACTGTCGATAGAGAATGTAAGTTTATAAACAATGAAACGATTCGACAAATTTCTAATGATTTAATTTGTTGTACTTTGTCAAATTAATATGACAGACTTATGGTGAGATCCTCTTTTATGATACGTATGTGATATAGATTATTTCATTTCTGTCAACACACATTTATCTATAATATATACTACATTTTAAAATTACAGCCGTAAATGTATTTCTATTTATAGCAAACAATCTAGCATTATTAAAACTGGATCACCCAGCAGAATTTAACAAATGTACCCGTAAGATTTGTTTACCAAGTGACAACATACAGCAAAAATCTGATCAATCTTGTACCGTAGCATCTTGGGGAAACAACGTTTCTGATAAAATTGGCCAAGGTATTTTGAACCAATAATCTAAAATCTCCTTATGACAATAACCTATCTCATATTTTTGATCTAATAAATTTTATAAAATTATGTTAAACAAAAGAAGATATAATATGCCATTTCGTTAACTTAATTTTAATCCTCCTCGGAGTTACGCCAGAATACAAGGGTGTGAGGAAAACTCCCAGCGTAACCTTGGATTAAGTGTCGTACTAAATGTTTGAGCTATGTTGAAAAATCCAGTGGCATCAAGATAAACATTTTACAGCAACCCCGCAAAAGTACTTTATTTACCGGAGGTCAAATTTGGTAAAGTCTTAGCAAGATCTTTTTTGTCTAGCTATATAAGAGTTGATTACTGTCATTACTGTTAAGACTTGTTGGTTTATGGTTTTAGATTTGCCTGGAAAACTACAGACAGCAGACGTAACTCTTCAACCATCAAATATTGACAATTTAAAACCATTGACAACTACAGCTCAGTTTACGGACAACAACAACAGTGCATGTTTGGTAAGTTTAGTAATGATTTATTTTTCACAGAAATTTAGGCAAACAAACCTATCATTTTCAACACTTCTATTAACGCGAAATAGTACAGTTGTACAGGGAAAATGGCCTTCAAAGACTGCTACGAACTGATGGTGTCTCTGAAAATCTGAATAATAGCTGGAATTGGTGGAATTAGCTTACTATCTACTAGAAATTGACCCTTGAAGTTTGAAGTCGGTCTGTGAGGTTGGAATCTGCAATGGTCGCAGTTGCTAGCAGTCAGAATGATAGAGGTGGGCTCATGTAGATTACTATATCCGATAAGACAGTAGATACTGCTATTAATTGAGTGCATACCATCAATACATCATTACTATTATAACTAACAATATTTTATAGAGTGACAATGGCGGAATGGTAGCATGTAAGAATAATAACCAGAGATGGATTATCAATGGTTTGATTAATCGTCCAGAAGTATCTTTCTGTTCTCCTGGTGAAAAGTTACAAGTGACTGACGTTAGACAAGCTACAGCATGGATTAAACAACACATCGCTTAATCTGAAAAAATGCTTGGTATTTAAAATTTTCCCACAATACATTCTCTGAAGCAATGTTTATCGCCGTATGATTTGCTAGTATAGATACTGCATATACTTTTATCAGTAAATAAAAGTTTTAACAATTAATGTACTGTATGTGAATTGAAACATCGGCTTCAAAATAGTTTTGTTATTCTAATGCAAAGGGCAAACCACGCTCGATCACGAAGGGGCACACGTATAGCGACATTTTTAGAGCGTAAATCACTCGACGAAACTTTGCCGCTGTTCACGTGATAGGTACATAATCGCCCGACAATATATGAAAATATCTTACATTTGTAATGCAGGCCGTAAAAATCACCGTCGACATGAGTGAGCATACGAACGATTTTTGAAGAATTTTAAAGGGACATGCAGGCCATTTTTGACCATTCATACTTTAGAAACTGAATTGTTTTAGCTGATCTAATCAGTAATAATGTTCACAGCTTACCATCGAAATTTGAGCCATCAAATCCATGTGTGTCCAGAATTATCTCGGTTTGAATGTTAAAATGACAACTCGTCAATTTAAGATACTCTGTGATATATAGAAAAAAACATATATAGAAATAGTGAGTAAAATTCCTAGTTTGAAGTATTTTAAATGAATTATGTACTTCTGAAGACTGCTCACAAATCAACCCTAAAAATGGCACACCTGTCCCTTTGAAACATTCGAAAAAACCGGGAAAATATTTACATAATCTGCCCATGTTGAACCTATTGACCAAGATCAATACTGCAGCTTCTTCTGATCTCAAGAACAGATTATGATGCATTTGAACTAAGTCAAGGACAATAAACATCACCAAATTCGTCTGAGCTCATGTAAATTTAATTGATCACTCGAAATCTTTTTAATAAGCGTCCAGTGATTGATACCCGTAGAAATTGAAAATTGTGCCTTCTATTGTGTCCAAAAGTCGATTTTGACGCGTCTTCACTGTATGAAGGTCAGAAATGCCAAAAACGTTCGTTGAAAGAGATCTGGTCAACCTCCTTAGTCGCACAGTGTACATTAACAGATAATAGAGATCTCAATTTCATCTTTGTTTTTCTCAGTTTTGCAATTAAAATCCGACGTAAGGGTCTCTTAATGCTAAACAACAACAAAATATAGTGTAAAAAATTATGTTATGCTGATGACGACGTGAACACCGTCATTTGGTGGATGATATACCCAATTGTTTCTTTACTCAATATAGATAAGCAAACATGGCTATATAAGGAATTAGAGTAATTTAATTAACAATAAAGAAATATATAATAAATAAATCACAATAAAGATACAGCCGAATTTCACATCAGAGGATCAACACAATACTTCATAGTAATCACTACATAAAGAGTGTAGTTTGGGTATGGGAATCAGTTAAATTCGTAAAGAAATCTATTGTATTAAATGTAGTTTGAGTCTCCATATCAGTCAAGTCATGTTGGTTTACGTTTGTTTGTGTCTCAGTTGTAACCAATGGTTCAAATAGAAGCACTCGATCAGATCCAGTCGAAGTACTTGACATCATCCTATCACTCTGTGGTCGATTTCCAACATTTATCTCGCCTGGATAAGTAAGACCTGTTGCCAGAGTCTGAGTTTCAATATCTGATAATCCGACTTCAGGAAAGAGATCATCAGTGGTTTGAGTTTCCATATTATTCATTAAGAAGTTCAGTAGTTCTTCCTCAACTGTTTGTGTTTGAATATCAATGACCGTGGAAAGAGGGTTATTTTGAGTATCTGACTGAAGTAAATGGTCTAAATCAGAGGCTGATGTTACTGTTTGAGATTCAGAATCCATTGATGTAGAAAATGTTGATCCTAATGATGGATCTCCCAAAGTAGGTCTTCTTGGGGTCATAGTGGTGTTATTCATGGGCATAAAATTGGTCAATGTTGCATCTGCCAATAAATCTAGATTTTGTTCAAGGAGACGTTTTTTGCAAGGTACATGATAGTCAGGTAAAAGTTCCAAGTAACGTGAGCTAGATGGTATAGACTGATAAGGTGTTTGAGTTTCAATATTTTGTAATAAATTTGTCTGCTGATGAAAGAATGATAGATTTGTTTGTGTGGAATTATTAATGTCTAAAACTAATTCTGATATAACAGGATCTGGACCACAACCTACATGAGACATCTTTTTCCAAATTTTACGTTTTCGTCTTTTATTACAAAATGTGGTGTTGGTTTGAACTTCACATGTTTTCTTTTTAAATGCTTTACGTATCTGAGTTGATGTTGGAATTTTAGCAGTTTTAATTGCTCTATCTAGAATATTCTCTGTTGATGTTTGAGTACCAGCAATACTACAAGTTGTCTTTTTCGGTAAAAAAGACATTGATGTTTGCATACCAGTGGAAGAAAGTTTTTGAGGAGGATCAGCCTGTGTTCCTGTAGAAGCTAATGACACAGAGTTTAAAGAGGTCAATGTTTCAATACCATAAATATCAGTTTGAATTTCTGCTACAGAACATACTGGACTTTGATCTCTGGTTAAATCATCCTTATTAATTCTGTTTGCTTGATCTTGATCATTGATTAACTTGGATGATTTTGCAGAAATTCCAACTTGTGGTAGACCTATACATAAAGACTGTAAATTATTGGTAGCTGACGGTAAACCGCGGACTATAGTTGCTGAAGAATAGGTTGGTTTAGGTAATATTCTAGGATGTTGAGGTGATGGTGATGGAGTAACAACAGGTTGACTAGATTGATTTATCACAATTAAACATGGATTCATCGGTACTGGTGATGAGCTGTTCTCTTTGATTCTACAACAGAAAATGAATAATGAAAACAATGTTTCATATTAGATAGAGATACTGATGTACATCCAGGGATATTTCCATCTCCTTATAAAAACAGTCTATTTTGTTTTAGGGTAGAATTAATATAATTGAAATTTAACTCGGATTTACAAGGTGCTCATTAGCACTTTCACCAACTCAAAATGGTATATATGGTTCTACATTCAACTAGAAGAATGTTCTTTGTTCTTCTATAAAATTTAAGAAAGCAGCAAAATTGTTTGAGTATTGTGGTAATTTTGACAAAATTTATAAAAATAACCACAGCTTTGAGATATTTGGTGGAAGTCTATGACTATAGGTTAGAGCAATTTCTCACCTGCTCTTCTCCAGGTGTTTATTTCCTCTCCTTGAAGATTTAGCTGAAGATGGTGGTTCGTGGCCATGTCTTCTGCAATGTGTTAATACAGCCTCAGGGGTAGTATATGGACATTTACAACTAACACATTCAAATACTTGACCACATGTTTCTTTGTGTCTGTTTAAATCTCTTTCAAATGCAAAGCCTTTCTGGCACATGCTACACTTATACTTCTTATCACCATGAACTTTACCATAATGCTAATGAAAAAGAAGAAATTCACATAACTGATAACATTTCTTAATGATCTTATCCACCTTGAAATAAATTTGAGAAGGTTGCAGCTGTTCAGTTAGTATTGTGCTTGCTTGTTACATTGAAGGTCAGGGGTTAAAATCGGGCATAGACTGATATATACTTTCATATTCATCAACCCCCATCAGTGATGCACTTTGGAATAGTTAAGCTACTCATTTACATGGGACAAAAACTGAGTCCCTGTGTGCTACGAACTAAAGATCCCTTGACAGTCGGAAATCGAAAGATAGCTTGCCAGACAAGGTAACATACGCCCACTACCAGCTATCAGAAATGATAACAAAATATTTGGTGGCTTAATAATGTATTTTCAAATAATCTTAAAATCAAAGTCAAAGCAAAAACCTGAAACAGTTCATAAAATTATCATCAAATGAACAATGTCTCAAGGGCAATAACTCTGAAGAGAAGTAGGACTTAATACTCCATTTCATTTCATTTTTCAAGGTCAAAACTAATTGGAATTGAAAAATGTCCTACTGTTGTTGAAACAAAAAGTCCATCATCAGGGTACCAGGTGTAAAAATGGAAATGTAAATAATAAGTCTGTTTTATATGATTAGAAGGTTAAGGGCAATAACAATCCAGTTTAATATATATGAATAACATACCTTACCTGTTTTAAGTATTTTAACTTAGTAAAATGTTTAGTTGAATGGTGGCGACAGTCAACAAGAGGACAAAAGTATCGATATCTGTAAACAACATTAGAGTTTTTAACAGGTTTAACAGGAACAGTAGACTAAAATAGAATAAGGATGTTGGAAGAATTTCACTTAGTATTAATTAGAATATCATAGAAGTATAAGCTTATGCCCGTAAATCCTTTTCCTCATTCACAAGCAATGTAAGGCTATATACATTAAACTTAAAGGGATTGTAAAGAAGGTTTTTTATTTGTATCAGGGACACTGATGGCATCAATTTGAACAATTCCAATATTCAATCAGACGTCTGTGAATCCTTTGTTTGATGAAGTCATTAATCGCGAAAAGTGCTTTATCACATCATTTCCATGTAAATAAGAAACTTTGGTGAAGTGAACAATGAACTAAAAATATTGTAATAAAACAGGCTTATACTTTTTTTTTTGAACTAGCAAGGTATAACATACTCTTTCAGTATATCTGATCCCACATACCTGATGGGTTTATTACATAACCATCTTTAGTCTATTAATTAATTTTCATTTGACTAACCTGTTTTGGTTCAGGGTGTGATTTATTTTTATGAAAGAGATATGATCCACCACTAGTGAATGTTTTATTGCAGCCTTCAATGTCACACACAATATGATTTTTCACTTCAGTACTTATTTCAGATTCTTTTGGTGTAACATCAATAATTTCTACTCTGTTTGTTAAATTTGTCTCTTTCATTTCCTGTAAAAATTTAACTTATTGTATTACTACATGTATATTACATCAGCGTTCCAAATCAGCATAACCTGACGAGGTTAAAACAATTCGTTTGCAGCGTTACTTGAATTACCGATATATGAAAATTTTTCTCTAGCCCTATGAGCTTATATACACTCAAGTAACCTAATTTCGTGGAAGCCTATTATTCCCGGATTTCCGGAAATGATTAATAATTTACATGTGCGGCCTCGCGTGACCTCTGCATTTGCTTGTTTTGATAAACATGTGTTATCTCTACAATGTCAGCTAGTAGAATGAATCCAGTAGTTTCAAGCAAGGTAAAATGTATTAATGTATACTTTGACAAATACAAAATGCCGGATTTCAGTTATTACCAAACGTCACCATTTTTTATCGGCCGAATTTCCTTATAATCCCAAGTGGTAATCGGAATTCCAAGTGTCGTCTGGTAGAATGTAGTCCAACGAATGAAGTCACGTGATCAACTAGCGGATTCCGTGTCAGCAGAAAATTTCTATGGAACACAAAGTGGACCATATTCTTATGTTGTTTCAATGACTTTTAGCAATAAATCACGCTACATATCTTATTTTGTCAGTCACTATTTTTTTTTTTAAATCGTGGTTCTTTGAAGGAATTGTCTAGTTATAATGACTTGATATTAAAGATAAATACTAAGGGAAATTAATTATACCACCCGGTATCCATACAACGTGTTTTTCTAGACTTATTTATAGATCAAACATTGTACACGAAAATAGGTGACGCATTCTGCCTCCGTTGCTGAGTTGGTTGCTCATGAAATATGGGTCAAAGTGAAGGATTCATAAAGAAAATCGAAATAAACCAATCTTAATTATTTTGTAGAATATCTGAGGAAACATCTAAGACATAAAAAAAAAAAAAATTTGTTCTTTTAAATTTGACGAAATTCGTTGTTGAAACCTTATATCCACGAAAATAGGTTACACCACTGTAATACTAATTTCAACTCAGAGTCATTCTAAATTATCAGAACTACATAATTCAAGAATTGGTAAGCATTGAATTTAATGATGATATTCCATTCACATGGAGAGGTTAGGGGTCATCTAGACCTACCGCTGTCCACTAATAAATTCACTGACTGATACTATTTTAGTGCGATAATAATTTTGGTATTATTTTGTTCAGCTAGGCTAACATCCTATAAGCCTAATATAGCTCAAACCTGATTAAGACAACACACTGTCTGTTAGGAAGCACACAGACACCATACTCCTCAGAGGTCTTTGACATTTATTTAGTTATGTGCATTGACAATTTGGTTGTCAATGCATACTTACTACAGTATTTCATTGTTTTCTTTAAGAAAATGTACGAAACAATATTAGAATACGCAATTTCATGTTTCAATAAAACTCTAAACCTTTTCAAATTTTCAAAAGTAAGTAGCTCTATGCATCGAACTGTATAGTATACATTTCTATGATCTATTGAACTAATTGCAAATGAGAACAGGAGAACAGAAGAGGAGAATGAAATATTTTCTAATGATTATTTCGTTTCTAAATCTATCCAAAATTTTATTAATCCAAGATGTCAGCCTCCATAAACTTCCATTCCCCTGGAGGAAAATTAAATTTTGAGATTTCCAGATTCGACAAGGAAAATGAAAATATACAGACAGTGCGAGATCAAACTTTTAATAATTCAGTAAGATTTTATCGCTCACAATATTAATCCCGGTTTCCCCCTGTCAGTGATGCAGGTAAGTGGGACGGACATGGAAAAAGCGTCTAGTTGTTCGGGACAATAATCCGAGGCCCCGTGCGCTACAGGCTGTGCACGTTAAAGATCCCTCGACAATTGAAAATCGAAAAAGAGCAGGCTTATGCCGCTGTCCTGGCAAAATTTCCTTCATTACACTCTGCATGGCGTTGCCCGTCTTCATTAGTCCACATGGTGCAGAAAAGTAGGACGATGCAACCAAACTATTGACTTAATTTTTGATATGGATAGTAAACTGGGCAGCTAATCTGTTGCAATGATTTTGAATCTGAAGTAATGAATTGCATGTTATATAACTTTCACCCCTTCATTATGATATTCAATAAAATGTGCTGACTCGTTGTGTTACGCATTTGGTACTCATTTCCGTTTTCACGGAACCTTGAGCTAAACTTGAGCTTGGATAAATTTTACCTCTCTTTCCATTTAAAAAACTCTGCAGAATCCAGGATATGGCTTATTCAATTTATGAGATAAGGGGGGGTTAATACCATTCGGGTTAATTTTCCAAAAGTGCTTAGATCAAAATTTAGTTCAATTTTAGGTTTATTTATATACCAAGTTTTATCCAAAACGTCTACATTTCATGTGTATGCATGGACATATCAAATTTTATCCTTTACGGTGTTTACGAACAAATGTGAACAAGCAGAGGGGTTGTCAAAAGGACAGACTGATGGATAGACCGACGGACGGGTGGCAAACCATCAGAAAGACTGACCATCTTACATATATTCTTACAAATGTTTTTAACATTGTATATAAAATGCCTGAAGATCCTGAAAATGTGAAAGAAATTTCCATTGATTGACAACCATCTTGAAACTTAGAGAGTAACAAGATGGCACCTAGTGAGAAGACTCTCTTCATATATGACACTGATAGCCTTATGACAAGGTTAGCGGTAATTTGCACATCATGAATGGGAGCGAAAAGTATACTGATCATATGGCTTTTTATTCTGAAGTTAGACTTTTAAAAGATTACCAGTCAAATCGTTTTCATGTCAACTTATCAACAAATTTATGTTAGTGAACTCGTCCACTAACAAAAATTTGACGAAAGACAACTTGATGATTTATTCATGTAAACTTATCATTTGGGATATGCATGAAATCATACCCCTTAGGAATGCAGGCTGTGACAAAGGCATAAGGAGACCATACAAAATATTCATATTCAAATAAAAACTTGTTCTGAAACAATTTTGTTTATTGTCCATACATGTATAACTATTATAGTTTTTATGTGGATGTTTGAACTCTGATTGCATAAAATATCACATTCTCTTATATTTGTAAGCTACATTCTGCATGCTAGAACACAATATCATTTAATACTATATATTAATATATAGAATACTTACTGCATTTTGAAGAAAACTAAGCTTATATTGTATTATGTCTACAAGAAATGTTAATAGAAGAACATGAATGAAACGTAAAATGTGAAATAAATACTTCATTGAATATTTTGTACTTTTTTTAATTGTAGATTTCGGTGATATGTCCTGGTATATCTAAACCTCCTGTAGAATGGATTAAAAATATAGTGGATGATTTAAGTTATGAAGTAAAAAATGTTCCTGTTTCTATGTTAATCGAAGAAGAATTTTTGGGTGCATTTTCAAGAAATGGTAAAACTGACTTATATATAACTTAACAATATGAGAGTCAATTTGTATCAAAAATATCAAGTATTATATATACATATTTCTAGTTATTAGATTGAATGTCAAATTCATGTGAAAAGAAGTTTTAAAACTAATTAAAATTAAAGATGGCAAAAATCAAGGGAAGTAAAAAGCCGTCTTAAATCTGTCTTATTCAATCCTTAAAGTGTTGTTCAAAATGTTTTATAGGTAAATTACAAGTTTTATCAACTGGAAGATTTATAGATACAGATAATTGTATATCATTTTTACCTACAGGTAAATCTACCAATCTACAATTTAATCTTGATATTTTTCATGAACAGAAGTGGGCCTCTAATGTTGAGACCTTTAGTAGCTGTCCTTTTTTTTCTTATATATGTAGTTTGTTTGATTGGTATTTGACCAAATTCAATAACCATAGATAGCTCAGTTATTAGTTTTTTGAATCTGTGACATGATCATAATTTTGAGTTCCAGCAATAAAAGGCTGATAAATAGAAACAAATTAAAGAAACCTAACCAAAAATTGTCACATTATTGATATTATCAAAAAGAAAATATTTTTAACTTCTTTTAATTCAGGTAAACTGATATTACATGTAAATAAAGATACATATATTAGTTTAGGATTGGAGGGATCAAAATCTCAATACTATAAAAATAAACAGACCAAATATGGTAGTTATTATTTTTAAATCTTATCAAAATATCAACAAAACATGTCTGAAATTACTCTTCAGTTGTCATTGTCATATCAATTGCAGGCAAAGGATGGAATAAACTTTTAGAGTTGTCTGTTGTCTACAGGCAGATTTTAACATTTCAAGTAATATTTTGTACAATTTCAGTGGTAGAGGTGGATACAAACACTTCTAGTTTTATTCCTGGCAAAAATTACTATGAGAGAGTAAGAACTTGTTTCAGAAACCAACCAGACTTGGTGTTCAATCTTCTTGTCAATTGGGAACCACCAGGTAAGTAATATATATTTTGTTTCTGAGTTATTGCCTGATTTTCATATATTTGAAATTTAGCAAGATTAAGCATTGCTACATATCCTTAATCGAAAGAAATGTGTTTGACTTGACATGTCCAGAAAATATGATCTAATCAACTGTGACTACCTTGGTCTATTATGTCTATTATGTAAAATGATGGATTTTACCTGAAAGGTACCATATTAAGGTTATAATGTCAATGTTTTATTATTTCTTTCACAGATGAAAATATATGTTCGACATCTTTGAAAGTATATTTTGAGAAGAAAGGATTAGAAGTGGTATGTTCAAATCTAGAAATAGTATATCGTCAAACAAAAAATCAAACCATACCCTGCATAGAATCTAGCCAGCTTGATACTAGCAATAATAACTATGAAGAAATATTTGAATGGTTGGGATGTGTTGCTTGTGATATTGATCTGTAAGTAGACGTTATCGAAGTAGAAAAATATTTGTTTTCTAAAATTGAAAGAACTCTATCATAGGTCATTGATTCAAAGAAGTGGCTGTTTCAGCATAAAGAAATGTCGAAAATCATTTGAATGGACATTCATCTTGGACCAATGAGAGGAATAAAAAACAAATATGCATAAGCAAATATTAATACTCTACTGTTCTACTGTTAGTTGGTTTTTATAACATAAAACAATGTAAAATTTATAATATTTTTATGTGTAGTAATAAGTAAGTATCCATTTTTAGCCAGGAGATAAACAGTGAAAGTTATTTATCAACATTGTCGTGTCCAGAACCTAATAATATAATAAATACTAGTTGTTATTATCAACTTAAGGGTTTCATTACCTCATCACAGATACAATACTTACTACACATTATCAGGTTTGTTTGATTAATTACATTTATTTTTATGATGAATCTATTGCAATTAGTGTCCTGTTGTAAATACATGTATTTGCTTGTCTTGTGGACAAGGTTGTTCTTATGGTTGTTCTATAACTATCCGCCTAAAGCTGTAGGATCCAAGTTGGAAGACTTTATTGACTGAGCTCCACTAAAAAAAAAGTGATGTGGCAGGTGATACTAGAGAAGAGAACATGCTCACCCTTATGCAAAACCTGTTGCCGCTCTGCCACTGGATTTGTCAATTCAGAATCTCTATTAGTTAATGATATTTTTTATGTATACAAATGTAAAAATCGCCTGGCTGTTACTGTTAGGCAACTGTTAATTCAATATAACAAATATTTTTAGAAAAAGTCTTGAAGATCATCCTGAATGTCCCTGGATAAATGTGACTGTGCATGGTTTCTCAGATTCACCAGTCTCAAGTAGTAATAAAGAACATGGCTATCATGAAGGAGGAGATTATATATATTCTTTTATCATATTTCCTAATCAAACTTATTGGTTGTATAAAGCTACAGACTTATATGATACCTAAATATCATTAATGCAAAATACTGTCACTAAATAAACAAAGAAAGAAACCTACAATCTTGGTTGTATCTGAGGATAATGCCAAACTTTATTACATAATATTGATTACAACATTCTACAAGATTTATAGTATTATTAAACACACAAGCAAGCGGTATGTGTGCTGTCTATTCCATATCAAAAGAAAATTTTTGGGTTCTTGGTTTAAAAATTTGCAAAACTGGTGAAAGCTAGTATACTCTGTTGATATAGTTGTTTGCTTTACAAGCTGATAAATCTCATTTTCAACTATTCATAGCTTAATATATCATGTAATAGTTGGACATACTAGTTCTCTTGCAATTTATAGACAATGAACAAATTTTCAAGTCATTGTTACATTCTCACTACCAATTATTACAATGACATCATGATAATGTAATATCTGTACAAAGAATGTTTTTATTGAATCGCAGAACCATAGTTCTAATTTTCATTCTGAAAAGTGATACAGATAGCTGAAAATGAGCGCTGTTAGCTGGTAAATATGTCTGTAAATATTTATTTTATCCCTATAAGACTTGTCATTGATAGTTCTGATAAGGTGAGAAAAAAATACACGTTCCATCATAGTTATGTTTAATAGCATAGCTGCAATAATAAATAATATAATAAACTATATAAAATGAGATATATCATATCATATCACAAGGTTATAGGAAAATAACATCCTTATATTCAATATAAATATATCACAGATATAATATGAGATTTCAAATATAAAACAGTACTTATCAAATAGACAGAGGGTCCAAAAAAGCAAGATCAATAAACAAAAAGCCATGTCCTTATAGGCACATTTAATCATGCTGTTGGTAAAATAAGCGCAAGAAAACACAAGTCATACATTTTCAGTTTCATTTTTTGAGAACAAAAAAATGTCATTCTGTTCCTAGTGATTGCAATATAATTATCTACAGTAAATAAGTACATACACACATTCCAAGTTTAATCATTTAAGAAATTTAGGTTCCAGAGCTTTTGTGGACATCAAAATAGAGAGATATGGGTGAAAATAAGATTCAAACAGAAAGATACACTGACTGAATAGAAAGTTTAAAAAATGAAATAGGAAGTAAGATTGAAGAAAAAATATTTCACTCAGTGGAATTAAAAGGAAAACAGATTAAACAAACAGAAATATATCTCTCAGAGTTAACTCATAGAATACAAAAGCAGTTTAACACTTTATAAGTTAAAAATCTTGACTAATACTTTCAAGTTTTCTCAGCAGCATAATATATAATGATGTTATCAATATCAAGAGAAATCTGTACATTTAAGTTTTAACTGATGATAAGGCAGATTTTCTTTTATCAGAGTCAAATAAATCAGCTTCCTTCTCCAGTAACCAATCATAATAACAAAATCCACTTTTACTTTTGCCTAATGATTGGAGATAAAGGCGTAATGCACCTTGACTATTATTTCGTACTAGTCTACTGTCACTATGTTTACTTCCTACAGATACAGCAGCCTTCCTCTTTTCGTCTTCACGTTGACTCAACCAAGTCTCGTAAGAATTACCTTTTTCAAATTCTTCTTTTTTCCTAAATACAAATTTAATATCTGACTCAGTATTTTACAGGTATGTGTACAATTAACGGTATTGTAGTAATTTTGTCTGAATCTTTGTTGTAAATGGTATTAATTAATTAATTAATCTGCATCAATAAAATCATTCTATCATTTTTCATATTGATCAAACATGATTATAAAAATAAGTACAAGCAAGCCATTTTGGTCAATCAAAAATCTCATGATTTCTTATGAATGGCAAAATCAGGAGTAAAGGTAGTATAGTAATGGACTCCTCCAAGGAGGAGTACCATCAGGTGTTACGAAAAGAGTAAACATGGTCTACTTTGCGTGCAACATCCACCACTACTACCCTGGTCAAAATCATGAGATACCAGATCAATTTATGCCAAACAAAACAAATCAGCCAAAATTCCAGAAGCATATATATTGTATTTATCAAGGAGTTCTCCATAATTACCATAAAATTTCCTGTATGGCATTTGAAGATTGTGTGTCAAGTTACCATGTTTCAGCAATTTCAAAATTAATACTCAAACTTTAGCTAGCTACAAAGTCCTCATATATAGACTGTTATATTAGTCTTAAATGTATAGTTTATATAACTTAAGGGATATAATCGTGTAAATATTTTCTGTTTAAAAGCTTACTTTTCTTCCTCCTCAAATTTTTTCTTCGCCTTTACTTTCTTTCTTTCAGCTATCATTTGACGTTCATTTTCAGTTCTTTTATACAACCAATCATCAAAATTCTTTGGTAATCTAGCTTTTCTCATTTCAATTCTGAAATTTAACAGTTTTCAGGGTATAGTTTTCAAAACCCATAATTTCCAAACAAAAATTGTCGTTTGGTTCTTGACAGATCATAACTTGTAATTAATAAATTTGTTATTTTAGATGACATGTCTTTGAAAGGGCTTTAAAAAAATTTCAAAAATGAGTATTCTACTAGAATTAATTGACCCTTGGTGACTTATAACTTCAATGTGCACAATGTGGGAAAAATATACACTGATTACAACCAAACAATTAGTATTACATAAACATTTACTATATCCAGTTACTATTAAAGCAGACTAGTTGTTACAGTGCTGGAATAAAGGTGCAACCAGGTTTATAACAGTGTAGTATTACTTCATTAGTTAATAATAAGATTACAATGAAATTTGTAATTTTACCCTAATATATAACTTGATTTTCTGTCCAATTCACTGATAACACAAATAACATTAAAAAAACAAATTTATGATATCGAATTAAAAAACTTAAATCATGAAATGGTTTCATTTACATTGTGAATAACATAACTACAATTTGATTAAATAAAATAAAAAGATCATGATCATATAATTTACTATATATACAATTGACATTGATCAGTAGGTACAAGAAACACCCAATACTAGAAAATTTCAGTTAAAGAAAGATACATACTCCAATGTCTCAGCTGATGCTACACGTTTAGATGATGTTTCCTGAATAGCAGGTAATCGACCTGTAATAATAATTAAAAACTAGAGCCACACGTGGCACAGAGTGGGACTTTGCAAATGTAGCAAAATGCAAAAGACTGAAAAAATCACGCGCAAGAGCAGTCTAAAGTTGAGAAGAATTCTTTGGAAGATTGTTATAACGGAAGTAGACAGACCTCACAAATGAAAGTATCAGAAGATAGCCAAGGTCAATGACATTTGACATTGAAAGGGAGACGGTCAACAAAGGTCAAGGTTACGAGATACAAGTCATCAAAATTTTTAAATATATACGGCTATAAAACCGGAAGTTGAGATAGGACAGCAAATATAAAAGTATAAATAGATAGCCAATGTGAATGACCTTTGATCCTACAAAAATCAGGGTCAAAAAAGGTCAAGGTCAAAAATTGAAAATTTTGAATTTTCAAAACCTGTTCCTTTTTTGAACTATAAAGCTGAAACAATCGAACTTCTAAGACAACGTGGCTCAACGGATGAAATAATTGTATGCAAAGTTCCATTTTGAACAAATGTATACGTTGCGAGTTATGTCCCTTGCCAAAATTGTCAATAATGAGTAATTTAACCCGGATGTGCTACGCCCACCTCAATTTCTTTTGCATAGGTTAAATGATATTCTGAATGTTATGTTGTGTTCCAAATTTAAAGCTTCTACATCATACAGGTCAAAAGATATAAGTCAACAAGAGTCAATAAAGGTCAAAATAGAAAATTGAAAATATGGAAATTTCAAAACCCGTTCCTTTTTTGGAACTATAAAGCTGAAACAATTGACCTATTAACACAAACTGGCCAAAATAATGAGGTAATTGTGTGCAAAGTTCCTTTTTGAACAAATGTATCCTATGCGAGTTATACCCCTTTCCCAAAATGTAAACAATTAGTAATTCAACCCAGATGTGCCACGCCCACCTCAACTTTTTTGTCATAGGTTAATTCAAATCAAATTGACTTGTTGTGTTCCAAGTTTCAATGTTCTACATAAAATAGGTCATAAGATATATACACACCAAGCTCAAAGAAACAGAAATATTGTAAAAAAAAAACTCAAATTTGAAAAATTCACGAATTTCAATTTTGCTCTAAAAAACGATTGTTATAAATCACTTAAAAGAGCATGAAAAGCACATTAAGAATCCGAAAAAATTAACCCTCTAGGTTAATTAGGTAAAGTGCTAGAGCAGTCCAAAGTTGCGAATTTGGCTGTTTTCGGACAGCTATAAAACCGGAAGTACATATCGGAGGTAAAATGTCAAAGTATTAACTGATAGCTAAGGTCAATGACCTTTGACCTTATGAAGGTCAAGGTCATCAAAGTTCAAGATCACGAGATATGACCCTTCAAACTTTGAAAAAATTCAACCGGATGTTGCAAAAAAGCAAAATTGAGAATCGAAAAACGGCTTCCTAATGTCATGTTTTCTTTCATTTGACACCAAAATTAGTTAAATTGGATGAGCCATTATGTCTGAATAAAAATCGAATCATTTCAGAAAAATGAAAATGGCGGCCAAAGTTTCACGTCTGTTCCGGATTTTTTTTTTCTTCGTTTTTTTGTCATAACTTTGTCTACCTATCAGCATAAAATTTTTTGTCCTATACAAATTACACCGGAAGATATTCAACCGGAAGTGAACATCGATTTCCTGTTTAAACCGGAAGTGAAATTGAAAATTTGACTGTACCATTTTGTTTACTTTCTTAAACTGTCTTTGCTCAATTTTTTTCAGATTAATCAGACAAAAAGCAAAAAAAATGAAAAAAATGCAAAATTTGGCAAAAAAAATGTCTGCGACAAATTTTCGAATTTTGAAATTTTGAAACTGCTATTCTTTCAGATTTTGCCAGTAGATTCCAAAAATGCAAACCCAAAGAAAATTGACAATATGATAACAAACTGGGACTTTGCAGAAGCAAAGTCCCACAATAAAAAAAAACAGAATGGAAGCAAGGATATGAGACTTATACAGGATTGGTAAAAAAAATGGTGCATCTTGACCTTTACTTTGAATGGAGTTATAGGAATTACTTGTTCCTGATGCACAGAATAAAAACTAGAAAAATCTTTTAATTTATTTTTTTTGCAAAGTTTTTCTTACCATCTGAACTACACTCTAATTTAGCTGCTTCATGTCTATCAATTAACTCCTGTATAGCTCGTAGTTCATCATCTCTTTTCTGTTTTCTGGCTACAGATGGATGTGTTTTTCTGGGTGGTGCATTTAATGCTGATCCTTCAAACTCCCCAGGTGGTAATATATTTGTCACATACAGTTGAGATTGATGTCCACTTTTCCACACTGGATATTTTGAATCATTATATTGATGAGCCATTCTAGGAACTCTGCGAGGAGCTGATGCATTCTTGGCTCTTTGTTGCCATCTGAACAAAAATAAATGTCTTTCACAACTTTTATTGCCAAATTTGTCTGCGATTGAGAGAGCTGTCTGTCCGGAATCATCTTCAGCGTCTATTTGGGCACCTGATAAAAATATAACATAATGGCAGTATTTAATATTGATATTTATTTATCTTAAAATTTTGAAGAGATATTAGAGAAGGAGAAAAATAAAATAAGGAGAGTTATAAAATTTTATAATACATTAGCATATCAAAAATGCTATGTATCTTACCCTTTTCAAGCAATAAGTCAATAATATGACCACGACCTCTAGAGGCGGCTAAATGTAATGCTGTTCTTCCTAAAGGTGTGGTTCTCTCAACACTGGCACCTGAAATAGATAAAGACTTGAGCAATAATAAGTGAGTGAGAGATGGTATTCAAAGTTGTGTGCCACTTTTAAAAATGTAACCTTCAATTATGTGTAGATGAAAAAGAACTCACTATTGGCAATTGGCAATATCTGTAGTAACAATAAGGCTCTACCAATTTTCCAAAGTAATAAATGCATAATATGAAAGAATCATTTATTGCAATATCATCATTTTTGTCCCTGTATCATTGATTTTGATTCAAATACTGAATCAAATTAAAGATGGGTTTCCTTGTTTTTTAGTGTCAAATTAAGCAAACTCTTTGATTAATTGGTGTTTCTAATGAATTATCATGTATTCTTAATCATATCATTATGTTCTTATTGCATATTTATGATAACATAAGTTTCAACCAATCATAAATGTTCATGTTTGTACAGTCTGGATAAACAAAAAAGACTTTTTGACCTTTCTTGATCGGTCATTCATCCGAATTCTGTTAGTAATTCCTGAACTAATTTAGCTAATTATGAATTAATTATGGACATGTGAGACAAACTGGTATTTTTCCAAGTCATTATAACACCTCTACTCTAGCATATTCATTTTCATAAATGAAAATAAGGGAACCCATCTTTAAGTGAAATACGTTCGTAAGTTTAGGCATATCAACACAAACTCTCTAACCTGCATCTACTAGTTTACAAACTAAATCATCATGACCTCTATTAGCTGCTATACATAATGCTACAAATGCTCGTTCATCAATCCAGGCTTTTCTTGCCCTTGCTGTCATATATTGACTATTTGGTGTTTGGTAATCAGAAGGATGACTAACTCCTAACCTAAACACCTGTAAAATATTTCATAAAACTAGAAATATTTTCTCCCTGACCTTAGATTACTGAACTGGCTCAATTTTCCATGGGAGTTATTGCATTATCTTATGACAAGTTTTGTATTTTTATTTAACCCTTTTAACAGCTGCTCAAAAGTACATAATTTACTTTAGATATACCCAAGCGGACAGTGAAGGGACCATTAGTATGTGATGTCTGGTAACATTATTATAGAATGCTTTGAGTCATATTACTTGCGAGTTTAGAGTACCAGTATATGACTTCTATTTCATTCACACTCAGTGTTCAAGGGATAACTTACCCACTCAGAGTCTCCATTAACAACTGCTTCAACTAATTCTCTCCATTGTGACCAGACTGTTAATTGTAATGTTGACCCAGGTACAATATCATTTGATTTAATATCACTATCATCTAGTAAATCACCTGTAATGTTATAACATTATTCTTGTATTATAATTATTGTATATTACGTTATGCAACTGTTCAAGAGAGGCCTGTTACTTTTTTAAGGCCCTACATACATTTAAAGAGGAAGTTAACACCAGCTTTGAATAACACAAGCTGTAAAAAAAATCATTCCCCCTTTGGTCAAATATAATAATATCAAGTTTTGTAAACCTTGTGAAATCATTCTTGGATCATCCAATCTTAATAAGAAGGAAGTCAATCTTGTTTTATTATTTTCAAATTTCAAAAAAAATGTTTGTGACCATGCAATATATTATGCCAATTAGTATATAATTTACCTTAGCTTACAATCTATTAACATACCTTCATCAAGAAAGAAAACTCTTTGTAACTGAACAGGAAGTCCTGTAGTAAATTCTATCAGACCTTTCAGTTCATTTATTTTCATTTCTCCATAAACTTTCTTCAGAGCAAACTTCTCATCAGTGTGTAACAGTTTTGCATAAATTGTGAAAAATGAGCGTTCTTTGCCAGAGGATGGGGATTTCTTTTTCTTCTTTCCTACCATTTTTTTTTTTTTTCAAAAACTATTTATATGGGCCTAATTCATAAAATGATATTAATCCATGAAAAAGAAAAACCTGGAATAAGGCAAAGACATAATAGTAAGATATTTTAATGATAAATATAATATCAATAAAATGAGCCCTGATGTCACAGCAGCTGTAGACTATGTATCTGGCTTAATTATAGGGCCTAATATTGTGTATGACAGTACATAATCCTCAAACTTGGTATATCCAGATAGATATGCAGTGGCTTTTCGAGGAATTCTTCGGTAGGGTGGTTGAGTAAAGGCCACAGAATTGTCAAAGACAAAGGGGGCTCACATATACAATTTTCCTTGGCCACTTATAAGTTATATTGGGTTGGGGTGGGGCGGGGCACTTCTGAAAGAAACAAAAGTGAGACAAAAATCACCATTTTGAGCTCACTGTGTTTGGAGAATGATTAATAATTAATGTCAATCAAATAGCAATTCAACCAAATTACCATTTCAGTCAATCTACTTTCTTTCGTCCGCCATGTTGTTTACAATGTAACTATGGGCTGTTCGTTTTGTTGTTCATGATCTCTGTTCTTGATAATTTCAGTTTATATATAAGGAGGTAATGAATTTGTGTTTGATATAATCAATATCAGGTCAATTGATACCAAAATACACATGGAAAAAATGATAATAATTTTGCACACAGTTTCTTACTGATTTTAGAAGGTCTACTTGATCACTCACCTGAATGAAAATCGAATGCGGCCATATCTTCTACCTTTTCAGGGAGATAACTCAGATAATCTGTTAAACCGGAAGTTTCTGGAGGTTAAATAACAATCATTAGAAAGTAAGCTGCAAAGTAGAAATGTTAAGCTCAATTTGCAGGCATGCTATATCTTCTGCTGTAAGTGCTTATAGAACTAAATTCATTTGGTTGGTGGTCAGATTATGAAATTATTATGTGAGAAGTTACATAATAATAACTTACCAAAAAATTCTACTCTGGTTCTGACACTTGACTGACTCAGACTTTCGTCTCACTCTTACTAGGCTACCAGGCTACCAGGCTGCATGATTGACAGACTGAGTCAGTGTCAACTAATTTGGTGAGAGATACCTTTTACGTTACGTGTTAAAACATCTTTATTGTTACGGTACTTTTAATTATAATCTTGGATGTGGGTGGTGGATAAAAGTGAGCAAACTTAACCACTTATTATGCTCTTTATCATAAAGTTTATGGGCACTCAACAGAAGTAAACTAAAATTAATTGATTGATATTGTTGTATTTCATGTTTTAGCGGCCACAAGTTAGAGCTATCCACAAATCGTCATCAAGTTTAAGTGGACATGTATTTGTTGTAAGTATGAATGTTAAGCATTTTGAATTTCCTTGTGCACTTTTATAGCAGAAATTTAAAAAAAAGAAATTCAACTTAGATAAGGTTTTAATTTTCAAAAATAAATTTGCTAATTTTGAAAGGATATTTTTTTTTCAGCACAGGGACACTGACAAGAATAATCCAGATATAAAATTTGAATTTACTGCTGAAAATCAGAAGGTAATGTCAAAATTACATTTTTATAATTTTGAATCTCAGGTTCCACATATAATTTTTTTTTTTACAAATTTAGATAATTTGTCCCTTATTTGTGCATAACATGAATTTAAACTTGATATGAAGTTTGCTTTTTACCTAAATTTTAGAGAGTAGAAGCAATAATGGCAAATTACCCAGAAGGACATAAACAAGCAGCTGTTATACCATTATTAGATTTAGCTCAGAGACAATATGGTTTGTATTTTCTTTATATATATAGCTTTGGATCTGATGAAAATTCATTAAAATCACATTCTGGGAATTATGATTACAATGAAAAACATGATTGACAAAAATACTCAAAATGTCATGTTTACATCTAGATATAATGTACTGAAATCTTTAGAGATCTTTTTTTGTCCTGTCTATTCAATTGATTTCTACCCTTTTATGTTGGTAATTTTATTTTTAAACAGGATGGACACCTATCTCTGTAATGCATACTGTGGCAGATATATTAAAGATGCCTAGAATGAGAGTCTATGAAGTAGCAACCTTTTATACCATGTTCAATAGGTAAAAAATTTATATAATTAGAATTGAGTAAGCTTAAGCCTATAAATTTAATTGAATGCCTGGTTCGATTAAAAACATAAACACTATCAGTCCACTTTATTTAAGGCAGATTAAAAGAGGACTGTAAAGAGGTTTTCTACATTTTTTATGTAGATAGTTATTCTACTTTTAATGGACTGCTCATGATCATGGTTGAAACATGTTAACTTCTGATGTGCACAAATATCTCTGCTCATCTTTAGTAAATCAAAATCATTTTATAGTACATCTTGACAAAAAAACTTGATTTTGATAAACAATTTATTATAACAGTGAAGTAAAATGAATAAGCTTAAACAAATTAGAAAATATCTTACGAATGATGATATACAACAATACAAGTAAAATTTATGAGTTAGCATAGAGAAAATATTAATTTTTTTCACAATTGAAAATAAATATTTATGATTAAAGGGAACCAGTTGGAAAATATTTTGTACAGATCTGCACCACAACACCATGTATGTTAGGAGGAGTTGGTTCTGATGTTATATTAGATGCTATCAAGGAAAATTTGGGTAAACAATAGGTTTAAAAGTCTACAAAATCTAATTGTAATAGTATGGAAGGTCAGAATTAAATTCTGATAAGTGATGTGGATAGTTAAAGTTGAACAGCTGGTGTAGCTAGACTCGATTTTAGTTTCACTCAGCCAACAGGCTCCATTTTGACATGTACATACACCTTGAAAATGGCTTTGTACTGTTTAAACCCCAAATATGATTATTACAGGAGTAAAAGTGGGAGAAACAACCTCAGATGGTATGTTTACATTGAGTGAAGTAGAATGTTTAGGAGCTTGTGTTAACGCACCTATGATTCAAATCAATGATAATTATTATGTACGTATTTAAAACCAGGTTCCCTTATTTTCATTATTTTTACATATGTTCCATTAATGGACGGCAAATACTTACATAAATAGAGATGATGAAAATACCAGTTTGTCTCAAAAGTCAATATTTGGGATTCTAATGGTCAAACTGTCACTTAATAAAGATTGTCAGGTCTCACAATTTCCATAAGGGAGGTATCTCTATGTGTGCCTTTTCGCAGCTGAACATGACCAAGAAAGCTAAATACCAACAGACAAATCTAAAATGGTTATGTTTTCAAAATAGGGAAAAAGACGATGTTTTTTTTAATTTTCTAAATACACAGTGTATTTAATTATATTATTTCTAATTTAAAATATATCTTAAAACACTCTTTAGCTAACAGTTTTTTAAAACGAAAATGTGGCAAGATTATCACTATCTTTTTTAGTCATTGAGTAAACAAGGAATCTATTTTTAGCTTTCTCAGTCGGGTTTCAGTAAATTTGATCCCCAAACTTTTCTACATCCTCACAGAATCTTAGTACTCAAGAGTACTTGATTTATTCATTAGAAACCTCAATCAAAAAATAACTATGATTCGACCAAGATAAATAAGCAAAGGCAAAAACAAAAATGTGAAAACTGTATTAAGAATATATTGTATGAATGCCTGGATGCAAAGGCCAAATGAAGCGGCGTTCATCATTTGTTTCTGAGTTTCATGAAACAAACAATAACCTTACATGGCATTCTCAGATTTCAAGATTATTTCAGTGTTTGTTATAGATTCAAGATTTGGCCATCCCTTATCTGATTTTACACAATTTTGTTTCCAACATTATTGTTTTACTGGTAATAAAATAAATAATAAATAAATAATAAATAAATAAAAAAAGCATGTATGGTGAATCGCTGACTTATACTCTGTATTTTAGGAAGATTTAACAGTAGATGACACCCACAGAATTCTCAATGAGCTGAAAGCTGGAAAAATTCCCAAACCTGGTCCTCAGTAAGTGAAATACTCTCAAAATGAAACTGAGATTGAGGCACTGGCAAATTGTTTTTCATCCTTCTTTATTATATATTATTTGTATATGCCTTTAGGAAAACAAACCTTCTGTCAGCTATTATTTTTGGGAAATCACATTATCTAGCAATCTACCTTTAATTCTACAGTGCCATTTCTCTCATTATTTCAAAACTAAACAAAATTTAACAATATTGAAAAAAAATTGTTTTTATTGCAGGAGTGGTCAAGAATGGAGATTTGCATCAGAACCTAAAACTGGATTGACATCATTAACTGAGGAACCTAAAGGGCCAGGATTTGGTGTACGTAGTGACTTATAGGATAGAGATGAGAATGAACATCTCTTGTGTTAACATGATAAATTATAAACTCTTATTGAGCCCATGTTGAAACTAAATGGATTTAGAATA